TCTTGCTCATATGTCATTTCATGAAATTCTTCTGTGTCAGCCAATTCCTTCTGATACAGTGACTCTGTGTATTCCTTCCATCTTCTCTTGATACTTTCTGGATCATTTAATATACTACCCAAATATCCTTAAGTATTTCCACCCGTGGTTTGAATCTATTGGTCATTGTCATAACTGGGCAAATGCCTTAGTACAATAAATAAAACAGATAAAAATTTTTCATGTAGTTTCTGCTGTCAGCCAAGATTCGTCTAATATCAGCAATGGTATCACATGATTCACATACTCTTCTGAATACAATTTGGATTTCTGCCAGTTCCTTGTGGATATACTTCTATAATTTATATCTTCTAAAAAATCTTCAGCAAGATTTTACTTCTGTGCAATATTAGTTATATTGCTAATTATTTTCAAATTCTGTAGGAATTTTGTGGGGCACAAATTTTGTTGGGCACAAATATGAGTCTCTTCCAGTTGGATGGTCAAGTTAATTGTCTTCCAAATTTCTCGTCATTAATGCGTGGGCATTTCCAGTGTTATGCCTATTTACTGAAGTGCTTCAATTGGTATAATGTTAATTCTTTGGGTTTTTTTGCCAATGTCTTCAGTTTAGTTTCTTAAACACTATTTGTTGGTTGTCTGAGTCCATGGCTGAACATCCATCAATGCTTTTTGGTACAACAACTCAACTCATTGTCATTGGGTCTCAACCTACTCAGAGCTGATACTATAGTAGGATTTCAGAGGCTGTAAATTGCATGGGAGGAGATTTTCCATCTTTCTTCCATGGAGCAGCTGGTGGATTCAAACCCACACTGCCTTTTGGTTGACAGCACACCTCCTTACCCACTAGACCACCACAGAGTCTATATTTGTTCTATCTCCTTTTAATGCTTCCTGAACCCTTCAATGCTTTTCCTATGTTGTCTTATTAGTTATCTTAAAATCACCTTTGTCTCATAATGACCCTGTGGACAATAGATCAAAACCTTCCCCAATTCTGAGCCTTGCTCACAAACTCCATTGTGTCTATCCTCATTGTTGTGGTCACTACTTGTCTCTCATTTGCAAATGAAGTTTACTTTTTACTTAATATTATTGAGTTTGAGAAATTTCAAGAGTTATTACCTTCAGGATTTCTAATTCTAAGTCTTTACACATTTAATTATAATACTTTATTTTTTATTCATTTTGCTTTGAAATCTTCTATCCAGCTTTCATATGTCACAATTTTTTTCCTTTCTCCTAAGCTACTCTAAACTCTAGCACAAGTGTCAGAGTCTCTTCTGACATCTATCTTACTCTTTTATTTCTTCCTTGTCCTTTTAATGAACTTTTGTTTTCTTCGATTATGATGCCCTGCATGTCATCTCAAAACTCATCTGGTGACTTTGATTGAATGCTACCATTCCCCCTCCCCAACAGAGAACAGTCCTTTTTGTGACTTAACCATAGTCTCTCTGCAGTGTGTAAATACTGAAGCTGTTACTACTACTTGAGTCTGTGGAGTAACAACAAGCTAAGATTTAGGCAGCCCGTTTTACTGGTAAGAAGCATTAAGGACCTTTTTGGACACAGAGCTTCTAATTCTGCCCACATGCCTCTATCCTGGTACTACACTTTACTTGAAGCTATGCCTTTGGGCCTTAGATAAACCAGTGAGATCCATATATGTAGAGATATAGATAGATAGATAGATAGATAGATAGATAGATAGAGAGATAGATAGAGAGCTAGAGATAGATAGACCCTTATCTGTGAGAGAATGGTGACCAGTGAAGGCACTGAGAGTCAGTGAATTCAAGTTCAAGATCACAAAGTTCATAAATGATAGTCCTGTGATTTAATTCCCTATCTCTCTCTAAATCTTAGGCCTTTAATCTATACCTTATCATATCTCAGATCTTAGATATATGCAACAAAATTACAAAAGAACAATAACATTAACACCCTTGTACATGCCACACTTATTTCATATTTTAGTAAAAGCTAGAAATCAAAATGTGTGTCTACCTTTGGAAAGATGGGTATGTTTGTGGTATCAGGGGAGGAAATTAGCCCTGGCTGCCTTCCAGGGCTCACACGCATATATGAAGTCAGACTGCTGGTTCAAGAGTTCTGCTCAGCCCACTCTGATTTCAATAGCATGCCTGTGGAACAGTCCATTACCAACAACTGGGCTTGAATACATTCCCCTCTGGATCCAGCTAGCCAGTTTGGAAGCATTGCTGTCTTCTCGCCTCACCTCTGTCAGGAGAGTCACTGAGAGTCTTTGGATGCTTACCTGCAGGTATAGCTCAACCAGCTCATCTTCCTGCATGAGGTAGTGGAGGCGCCCAGCCCCGAGCCAGGCCTCAGCAGCCTTGTCCTTCACCCCCAGGTCGATGAAGATACGCAGACTTTCCTTGATGCAAATTAGGGATCTCCTAAGAGACCTGGGCGGCAGATGTGAAATCATGAGTATTGGGTTCAAAGGGATGTCAGAGGTCATTCAGCACAAGAGAAGCATAGGAACTGCCAGAGAACAATTTTGCTCCAAATCACACAGATATCAGAACATGATTTGAATCTCAGCTCTACCCTGCCAAATGCATCACCTTGAGAAAGTCCAAAACCCCTCTGTGCCTCATTTCCTTCATCTGTGAAATGGAAATATACTTCAGAAGATTATTGTGAGGAGTTAAGAAATTAATCAAACTGTATTGCTTAGAACAGTGGCTGGCATGCAAGAAGTACATAATCCATGTTTAATATATTTTATTGTTGTTATTATTAGTATGTTTTGACTCAAGGTATATCTACCTCTTACTGCTCTATAATATAGTCTTTATAAGCACAATAGATGCCATATGCAAAGTTACTGAGCCACAGTAAACCACAAGCCTCTCTCACTCTCAGAAGTCCCCATCCTTCCCTCAGTCACATCAGGCCCTCAACCTTCAAAATGAAGACACTTTAGCCTCCTCTGCTCTTCTGACTCCCACAGAGACAGTTAGATGAAGACAGCAGCCGTAAATCTAGCCTTGATACTATTTCCTGCTCTGTTTCTGTTTATTACCATTTACTCTCTTGGGAAGAACTGTGGACCTGTGATTGCTCTCTCCAGGCCCCGGAGATTGGGAAATTGGGATTATTATAAGGACTTCATGAACAGAGTGAGTACTTCTTGGATATTTTTCTCTTTGAGCTCATTGTGAACACAGAAGAAAGGAGCTGAGGATTTCTCTACAGAGAATAATGTTATCCTGAGACTTTACTCAGGCTCAATGCTGTGGAGCCAGAACCAACTCCTAACTGACTCTCTATTAGGTTTCTGAAGCCGTAAATCACATGAGAGCTTGTCATCTTTCTTCTGCAGGTAGATTTGAACCACCACAGAGGAAAAGCCTTCAGGTAAACAGCACAAATCCCTAGAGACAACAGTGCCCCCCTATTCTGAGATACAAGGGAGTTAAATGTATTACAAATACATTTACATTATTATACACAAATACATTAAATGTTGTTGTTATGTGCCATCGAGTCATTTGTGACTCATAGCGACTCTATGTACAACAGCCCTAAACCCTGCTCTATCCTGTGCCAATTGCATTGCCTCTGACACACCCATCCCGATTACCCCAGTCACTGAATCAATCCACCTCATAGAGGGTCTTCCCCTCCTGTGCTGTCCCTCTACTCCACCGAGCATGACGTCCCTCTCCAAAGACCTGTCTCTTCATGCAACATGTCTAAAGTATGTCAGACGAAGCCCCAGAATCCTTGCCTCCAAGGAGCAGCCTGGTTTAACCCTCTCTAGGATGAATCTGTTTGTTTTCTTGGCAGTCCATGGTACACTCAATACTCTTCTCCAGCACCACAGCTCAAAGTCATCAATTCTCCTTCTGTCCTCCCTAGTCATTGTCCAGCTCTCTGATGCATAACAAGTGATTGCAAAGACCATGGCCTGTATCAGGCGCACCTTTGTCTCCAAAGAGACACCGTTGCTCTTGAGTACTTTAGAGAGATCCCTAACAGCAGACTTTCCCATCGCAATATGTTTTTTGATTTCCTGGCTGCTGGTGCCAAGAGTGTTGACTGTGGAGCTGAGCAAACTGAAGCTGTGAACAATCTCAATCTGTTCGCCACCGATCTTGATGCTACCAATTGGTCCAGTGGTGAGAATCTTTGTCTTCTTGACATTGAGCCTCAGTCCTTACTGAAGGCTGCAGTCCTTGACCCTCTGCAGTAAGTGCATGAGGTCCTCCTCAGTTTCAGCGAGCAAGGTTGTGTCATCTGCATAACGCAGATTGTTGATAGATCTTCCACCAATCCTAATGCCACGCGTCTCCTCATAGAGCCCAGCCTCTCGGATAATCTGCTCTGCATACAGGTTGAATACAAAGTATTTAAACATTGTTGTTAAATAATGCATGTCAAATGAATGTTTTCAATTATACTTACTACTATTTCTATTACTGCTCCTACACCCTGCCAAGTTATTGACACTGCTCATCTTTCTCCCTTAAAGCAGTTGCTTGTATCAGACTACTAGAGAGGTGCGACATTTTGGTTAACAATGCAACATGCTACCAGTTACACAACCAGAATCTTTCTATTACTATTACAATCCTAATTTCTATTGTTGCTACACACTGCCGAGTCGACTGTGACTCATAGCGACCCTGTGAACGATTTCTCTGAACCCTGTCCCACCTGGTGCCATTCTCACAGTCTCTGACATACTTGAGCCCATTGTTACAATTACTGTGTCAATCCATCTCATTGAGAGACTTAAGGAGACCTCTTGCCTCTTCCCCTTCCAACACCTACATCATGTGCTGGAAACAAGTGGAGTCCTTTCTCCTTCATTTCTTGTCTCCAGTTTATTCATCAAACTTCTGTCCACTAAAACTACCAAAGATCTTTCAAATGTTTTCTTACCTTTTTACTGAAACCTCTATCCCCTTTGTCCATAATGCTATTTTCTTATTCGTCCCGTCCCCTTTCAAATTCTTACTAATACTTCAAGGCCACTGCTATCTATGGAAAGCCTTGCGTGAGAAATGCCCCAGTATTAGTTGAAAGGGTTTTCTTCTTTCCCCTCCAAATGCTCCTTTGCAGATGCCATCAATTTCTTCCACAAAAATATCCTGTCTTTGCTTGTTAGAGCTTTGAAACTTGTAAGAATGGAAATCTCATGGGAAGAATTTAAGCTGAAGAAATGTGTCCATTACATCAAGACCCACTTAATAAATGTCTCCTAGAAATCCGTGCCAGGAAAAAGAAATTTGAATCCAACAGAAAGTACATTTGTTCGTGTTCTTTTATCAGACTGGAAGAAACTCTGAGGGGTTTTGTTTGTTTTGTTTTGTTTTTATCTCACCTACCAATAAGCTTAGAGCTAAATTACAGCTGCCACCTCAAAGGTGCGAAGAAATGCCTGCTTGCTTATGTCTTGTTTTTGTTTTTGTTATTCCTCCCAGGAATGCTCTGCCGTAATGGGTGATTCATTTACACTAAATAAATGTAGCATGACAGCATGTTCTCTTTGATGGGAGCTGCAGGATGATCATAGACTACTATTTGCAGAAGTTTCCTTTCATACCTAAAGTGCATCCTTATGTTCCCCTTAGGGTCTCTAAACCTACACTGCTTTTCATGTATAGATTTAAAAGGCAGAAAATTTGATGTTTAGAAGTAAACAACAAATTCCAGTTAGGAAAACTTAAAGCTTAGGCTTATACAATATTGGATGAGAATATCCTAATTCTGCTTCAAGCACAGCAAACATTGTGAGGTTTGTACAGGATTGGGTAAGTCTCATTCCATTCTACAAAGGGTCGTTATGAGTCAGAGACAAATTCAATGGAATCTAAACAACAATAACAATATTGATCAATATCTAGAATGATGGAATGAGAAACTTCAAGAATCTCATCTATAAAAGTGAGGCGAAAACTAGCAAACTAACCAACAAAAAGCTAAAATCAACATGGTCAGAACTCTGATAATTAACCAAAGGTGTACAAGATCCTGCTCATATGCTCCCTCACTGTCAAGTACATTCCAGCTTACAACATTCCTCCATTGGTTTCTGAGGCTATAAATCTTTATGGGGAGATTTGTACTATTAGTCTTACAGTCAGTACACTGATGTGTCATGCACTATACCATCAGGATGCCAAGGACTATTTATTCAAGAAAAAAAGTTCAGAATAATGAACTTTGACTACACAGAGGTAGTGACCAAAACAGCATGGTACTGGTACAATAATAGACAAGGAAATAAAACCTATCAAATGAGGAAATGACAACTTCTTCAACAAATGGTGCTGGTAAAACTGGATTGGTAAGTGCAGAAAGCTGAAACAGGATCTCACACCATACACAAAAATCAACTCAAGGTGGATCAGAGACCGGGGAGTAAGCCCAAAACCATAAAGTTCATCAGACACAAACTGGGATCAAGCTTAGACAGCCTAATCTATGGAGTAAAGTGGCTGCCAACCCTAGCCAGAAATTCACAATCTGTAGATGATAAAACTGATGAATAGGACCTTCTAAAGATTAAATCTCTTTGCTCATCAAAAACCCTTTGCAATAGAGTGAAGGGGGAAAAAATCTACCAAATAGTGACAAACTTTGGCAATAGCATCTTAGACAAGCATCTCAGTACAAAAGTTTACAGAATACTCCTGGACTTCCAGAAGAAAAAGACTGATAATTTAACTACAAAATGGGCAAAAGACATGGAAAGACTTTTCGCAGAGGAAGATATTTGAATGGCCAACAGACACATGAAGACATACTTAAAATCACTGGCAAGAGAGATGCAAATCAAAACTATAATGAGATAACATCTTACCCAAATAGCAGTGGTAAAATTTATCAGGGCAGCAAGCAATAAATGTTGGAGAGGATGTAAAGAGATGGGAACTCTCATACACTGTTGGTGGCATTGTTAAATGGTAAAACCACTTTGGAAGACAGTTTGGCATTTCCTCAAAGAGTTGAATGTAGAAACTTTTTATGACTCAGCTATTCCACAACTGGGAATATACCCAAAAAAAATTAGTACTGAGACAGAAATGAATATCTATACACCAATGTTCACAGCAGTGTTATTCACCATCGCAAGATAGAGGAAACAGCCCCAATGCCCAACTACAACTTAATGGCTTGAGAAATAGTGGTACATTCACACAATGGAATATTATGTAGCACTTAGAAGCAATGATTTAGGAAAACGCTACATAACTTGGGAGAGGCTGGAAAGCATTATGCTGAGTGAACTAATGCAGTCTCATAAGGACAAATACTGCATAAGACCATAAATGAAAAAATAGAAGGGTAACTATTAAAACATATATGGGGACCCAAAGGGGGAAAGGGTGGAAGCAGAAGGGTGAGGATGGGTAGATTAGGAATGAAGCCACAGGGCTGCACAGTTTGA